GGGGGGGAGGGAGAAAAGCTAAGAAGCATGTTTTTTTGTTCTGCATGTAATTGTGGCATGCATCACAGCACTGCCCACGCCTTCCCTTTCCAGGTGCAAAGCCCCAGTCTCACTATACTTTAGAAAATGTATGATTTTCTCCCTCCCAGACCAAGGCTGGGATTGACAGTGTGTCATTAAGCCAAGTTTTTTTAAACTTAAAATGTTGTTTTTGTAATACTGGGTGTACAGATGTATTTACTTACTTATTTACTTAATCCTTTTATACTACTTTCTACAAAAGAACAAAGCAGAAGTTGGCATGGTTAGGCTTCTGCCAAGACCCACCCCTCAGTAGTGGGTCCATTTCCAGTCCCAAGAGCTCCATGCTGCTACCATCTCTCCTTATCACTGCCTTGCTCTCTCTAAGCTACTGAGCAACAGAGAGGAGGTGGAACAGAACTTTCAGGTCCTTGGGGACACGGTTCAGAAACCTGTTGTCCTCCCAGAGTTGTTCAACTCTAATTGCCATCAACCCAAGCATTGGTTAGGTGGGCTAGGGATGATGAGAATAGGAGTCTAACAATGACTGGAGGGACAGATGTTCTCCATGACTGTTCTAGATAGGATATGGATTTAGACAAGAAGACATGGAAGCAGCAATGAACTGGGGCTGCTCACAGAGTGGAGATGAGAAGCTCATGGCATCTTGTCCCATCACTCCTCCATCATGCCTAGAACTGGTACTGAGACCAGGTATGTTTCCTCTCTCACAGATTCACAGAACAGTTGGGTCAGAAGGGGACAAGAAGGCCATCGAATCTGACCCTCTGCTAGTGCAGGATGCCATGTACACCATGTCCAATAACTGTTTCCTCTTCCACCTTAGGAAATGCAAATAGATAAAGTACTTTTCTAAAACTGCTATTTTAAGAGTCTAATAAATCAGGCTAAAGAAAACGTAATTCCTAAGTAAGAGCTTTTTTTAACCTTGGCTAACAAATTGTAGTCCAAAGAGAGAGTGCTATGCAGAAGCTCCCAGTCTCAAATTTTTGTAAGTCACCAGTGAAAGTTATTTTATATTGAAAGGACATCTTATAGGAACTCTTCTCTGGGTGGAAGAATTGAGGGCATCCTTGGAAGATGTAGTACTGTCTGAGCAGGACTTTGGGGTGGTTGTCCAGGGGTTTCACAGCAGAATGAGCAGGAGGGTCCCTCAAGTTTAGCAGGACTGATAATTTGAAATAAGAGAAGCAACACATGACCATCTAAAGTAGGGAAGCACTTGTGGCTCTCCAAATACTTTGGCCCATAAGTCTCATCAGTCCTAGCTAGCATAGCCAATGAAGATGGATGATGGAAGTTGTAGGCCAAAATTCTCATAATTCTTCATAAGACCATGAAGTCCATTCTAAAATTATTAAGCTGCTCCATTTCTTGGAAGATTTAAGAAATCCTACAGGATGGAGAAGAAGCCTGTCTTAAGGTTAGCTTTATATATACTATAATATGCTTCTGTGATTTAGCCTTTCAAATAATGGGGTGGGGGAACTGATACAGGAGATGATGCATAGGGATGGGATGAGAATTTAATTGATTGAGTTTTTCTCCCCAAAACAAAGTCTGCACAACATCTTCTTTATTTTTAAATGAAAACTGAGATTCTTAAGTAAAAACTGCAAAATTCATTTTATAGTTTTAAATAGTCATAGGGAAGTAATATTTGCTTCCAGGACAGCTTTGCGCTGTGGTTGGTTCTCTTGCCCTTTTCTCCAGTTTAGGCCACAAAAAACGAACACTCAGGAGTTCATTGTGTGTGCGTTTGTGTGCTTGCACGAATGTGTGGTGACTTTTTTTTTCTTTTTGCTGCCTAAATTATTTTACCAAGTTGATACTAGATCTTGTATCAAGACAGTTTAAAAGTGTTTATGGTAGTCCAGTCTTCGAGCGTTGCAAAGAAATCTGAGGGCATGCTGAGGAAGGCTAGGCTTTGGGATTTTTTTTAAAAAATCAATGTTTCTAAAGTGTATGCATTGACTACTACAGAACATGTGAGCTCTGTATATCAAAGTGGATGTTGATTAATTGATTGTTACACAGTGCCATCTACATAGCACTTTGTTATATAGCGCTTTACAAGGATTGAGAAGACTAATCTGCACTCCGGTGAGCGTACAATTTAGTTGTTACTTGCTGTCAAGTTGTTTCGGACTTACAGCGACCCTATGAATGAATGCCCTCCAAAATGTCATGTCCTTGATAGCCCTGCTCAGCTTTTGTAAACACAAGGCTGTGACTTCCTTTAAGGTTTTCCTCTTCTCCCTTTGACTTTCCCTAGTACAACAGCTTCAAGTTTTATCATTTTTGTTTCCGAGGAAGGTTCTGGCTTGATTTGTTCTAGTACCTACTTATTCATCTTTCTTTTGGTCCAGGATATTCACAAAGATCTCATTCAGCACCATGTTTCAAACATGTCGGTTTACTTCCTGTCAACTTTTTTCACTACAGCGCTTTTGTGAATGCAATATTGTAGATGATCTTGGCTTTGATCTGTAGTGAAACATCCTTACACTTGATGTTCTTTTCTAGTTCCTTCATTGCTGCCGTTCCATATTGCAGTCTTCTAATTTCTTGACTGCAGTCTCCTTTTGAATTGATGATTGAGCTGATGGAAAATCTTTCACAATTTCAATTTCTTCATTGTTGACCTTTAGTTGTGTGCGCACTTTCTTCTTTCACTTCCCTCATGAGCTGTTTCAATTCATTGCTGCCTTCTACTAGCAATGTGGTATCATCTGCATGCCTTAAATTGTTGGTGCATCTTCTGTCAATTTTCATTCTTTCTTCCTCTGATCTGAATCCTTCTTTCCTTATGATATGTTCTGCATACAGACTGAACAGATAGGGAGATAAAATACACTCTGGTCTGACAGCATTTCCTATAGGGAACCATTCTGTTTCTCTATTACATGTTATAGGTAAGGGTCAAACAGGGGAAATAATATGAATATATTAAAGATGCAATTATATGAGTGCTGAGACTGAAAAATGCCTCACAGGTCCTACCATTCTCAAGTATATTGGCTTTGCTTAGAACCTTTTGCTTAGAAGATAGTGAACGTTTACCCCTTGAATTCATGACTAAGCAGAAGTTGACTTAAGAAGGTAGGCGGTAGGTTAGGGCTTGGGAACTCCTTTTCTGCTGAGGGAAACACATCTCTCACTTTTCCTGCACAAGGAGGGTCCATGTTGTATGAGGACTAGGGAAGTCATCCCAGATTTCTCCTTAGTGCAGCTTTTTAGGGAGTAGGTTGTCTTCCTCTCTGGTTGATAGGACAATCTCCATT